AACTAAGTCGCTGTGCATGTGTTACAAGTTCTAATGACTTGAACAAGCATTCGTACCTATTACACATACGCCCCATGTGACGTACATAAGCGTACACCGACACAGTTATTAATAATTCATTTTGGACAAATAGAATGTTTGCATTTCAAGAGACCCACACAAACATACGTATTTTCCGATAAATCGCAGGCAAAGGGAACACAAGGTAGCAAACTCAACACATGCTTTTAGCATAATTAGTTGGTATTCAATAATTTAACGCTGTTGGTCACCAATATCGTTATTTGTCTGCTCTAGAAAGCTAATTTGGCGACTGTGGCCTTTTCCGATTGAACATCTCACTAGTCTCACCTGCTCGCAATGAACTCCCTCGACATAGCCTCCCGAAAAATCAGACCTATACTAAGCCATGATTGATTGTTCGCATTAGTCGACTGACACTTTCAGGCACGATAGCAAAGAAATTGCCCAGATTAAGCTATCGATTAGACATTTCCGGCTATTTACAATACATTTTTTTACTCTTCATATGTTCCGATGTTGTATTGCGTGTTTGTTTAGCCATCTGGCATTTATTTTGGCCGTAACACGCCGCTCTCGTTTTGACTATGCAAAGGTGTTGGCCTCATTACAGATAACAGCTTATGCTGTTAATCTCTATTCAAAAGCAATGTAATTTTAATTATCTACTTAAAATGTTGGACCAACATTTAAATGCTGCCAGTACATTTTAATGGGTTTGTTTAATTGGATTTTAGGGAGGAGTGAGCAAACATAATATCTGGTCAAGCCCAAATGCTGTGCAGGTAGCGATTTATAAGCTTTTAATTGACTTTCAGTTGAAATTATTCGCTTACTAACTGATTGACTTATTTTGATAGTCACGATTTGAAACATCATATCTTTGAGCGTCAATTTAAATTTGGGGGAATTGTAAGAATGAAATGTATATATTCGCCAATAGAATGTTATGGATAACAATATATAATCGTCAAATTGGCATGGAAGCGAAGGAACTAAAAAGGCTGTAGTCGTTTGTTGATTCAAATTTTTTAAAATAAAATATTATTAATAAACGCATATAAAGCGTGAATTTTAATTTAATTTCATTTCATTTTTAACCTGATATTGCACCTCAAAGTGGGCAACATTTTATTTCAGTTATACCCACTCAGGCAACGAAGAACGAACTACTATACGTATTCTTGTGGGAAATGGGGCGATTGGCAAAATGGCATTTGTTTAACTATTTGAAATAGAACGAATACTTTCTTACACAAGCGAATGCCTATAAATGATGAAATTCTATCGGCAATATTCATACATAAGTATATTTATTTGAGTAGTTTTCAATAAAGTCTACAATTTAGGTTCATATAGAAAATTACACTTTAAATTCTTCAATATGAAGGCCAAAATTGAATTAATTGTATAAAGGAAAATAACTGGGGCGCTTGTGAAAATCACAAACAAATCTGCCTTTCTTATGGCCGTGTGTATTTTGCATACGAAATTCAATGTGTGACAGTCGTCCCTAAAAATATGCCAAGCAAAATGCCAAACACACACACACAGCCGTTTAAGATAGCAGCTGTCTGCTGCATACGAGTTAAGGCAAATGAAAATGAAATGCTAATAAACTTTTTATGCCTGCGAGTCAAAAGATTGAATAAAATATTAAATTGCGCCCGCTCAAAATTCATAGCTATGCTGATTTTGGTTTTAAATGCAAGCTCTGCCAAGCGTAGAGTAGGTCTGTGTATGGACTGACACAGTTGTCTGTCTGTACATGTGTCTGACTGTGTCATACGCATGTGTGTGTTTGAGCTTGTGTGTATAGACCAGTATGGCTAAGCCACATATGCTAAACATAATAACTGGAGTACGTGCAAACACACGCAGAGAGAACACAGAGGGTACAGAGCATTGAAGGCAAAATGGATAACAGACTTGGGCATGTTAACATGACATCATCTCAGCGTCTGTGGCTGTGCAAAGTCTAATGAATAAAAATGATTTTTAAAAACAAAAAGCCAGCAGGCCAGCCAGCGTGCCAGCTTATGGCAGCAACACAAAAACAAAACAAAAACAACATCAGCAATCAGTTACAATAAAATAAGCAGACAAACTGCCAGCAGGCTGCCAGCCAGTCTATGGCCTAGCATTAGAATTTGGTTTCCAAGTGGTTCAACTCACTAGGCAGCCAGCCAAGAAGTCAACAGCCATCATAACTAAATGACAAACTAACACGAAGGCGTGGCCGTGCGAAGACGCTTTTTTCTGCTGACGTTTTTCTGGCCTTCCTCAGCCTGCAGTATGAACACACAATGTTGGCCAAACAGCCTTGCTTGGCTTGTTGTTCTATAATCCTTTATTATAATTTTGTGTGTGCGATTTGTTTTTATTTGCTGTTGTTATTATGCTTGTAGGGATTTTGCATAAATAACTGGGGCAAAAACTATTCAATTTCATTTACAATCTGCAATCAAATGAGGAAAAACAGGAATAGCAATTGGCAACAGCAAAAAGTGAAATGTAATGTCTTTTGCTAGCAGCACAAGTTTTTTGCAATTAAATTTTTTATCTTTCCCATTATATTCTTTTGCTTGCAATATCAACTTATGCAACATGTATACCATACTTTTACAAAAGATAGCATTATTTTTATAAGTTATATAATTCTAATAAAATATTTATACTTCAATGGATAGCAATTAGAATTTCGGAGGGGAATTGGTATAATTTCCTATCAAATTATTTCTATAAATTTAAAAAATAATGTTTTTTCTCTCCTCTAAATATTAATCTCTAATCTCAATCTTTATTATTACCAACTACGACAACTTATGTTTGTTGCGGGACTTTCATGTGCTATATATGTGTAACTATGTGGACCACACGGAATTTTAATTTAGCAATATCAACAAAAATTCTCCCACTGTTCACACAAATCTATATCGTCATACCCAGGAATTGGAGGGCTCTTACATTTAGCGTCAGTGACAAAAGCGACGTCAAGAACTGACAACAGCAAACGTATATCATGGTTACCCTTTAAGGTGTCGACAAGATTGTGTGTTCCACCCGACGGTGACAGCGTCGTTGAAATATTTGACACGTTTAGCGAAGTGACAGCTAAGCACTGAAAACCCGCCTCAGCATAATTTCCAAACAGAGACGCAGAATGTTTGTTTGAGCGTCTACCTCACATGAGCATAACTGCCTTATTTATCGTGCAACAGAACAACAGAACATCAAATTCACAATATCGATTATTAAAGTGGAGCGTGAGGGGCTTATGGTATACTCTAAAATTTTGCTCGACATCGTGCGCATCCACAGTTTGTTCATTAAGATATTTCGTTTCCATTGATTTCCTTACCTTACTTCAATTAGTAAGTTGACACTGTTGACTCTAAATGGAAAATACGTTGCTCGTTGATTTGCATGACACGTTCAGAAAATTAATGGGCTGCCTACATATAATTGTAGTTATACTGTTAAAATGGATCAAATATATTTCACACTATAGATAAACAAGGATTTTATGCTTGGCCTGGCAACAATGCACAGCTAGCCTGCCATAGACGAGTTTCTATACATTCGGAAAGGAAACATATAAGTCTATTTCGCAATAAATTAGTTTAATAGATCAGATCAGGTTCAAAAATACCTTTCAAAAACAAATAAATATATTACGATAAGAAATCCGTTATGATATTTCCTGAAACAGTGCAGCTAAGTCCTCCTGTATGTGGAAGTCTATATTAATAGTCCAAGTCCGTTGTTGGACTCAAATAGTTATGTAGGACTCATATAAGTTATAGGATCTGCCACTTTCCATGTAGTTTGGTACAATTATTTAAATGGGGCGTTGCCAGCAACAAGAATAATTTCTTAGACGTGGCACCGCTTAAGAGTTTATTTAAACAGTCTATTCTCCAGTTCCTGTGTGTAACAGTCATCAAAAGCTTATAAATTAATAAATATGTACTTCTCTTTTGTCAGCTCTTATTATACATTTTTAATTTTATAATAGATTTTCTGCTTAATAATTGGCAAACAACTATCGCACACAATTTCTAAGCTTCATTGTTAACAGACTTTAGCAAATTTTAAGCCGAATTTCACATCAATCCGAAGCTAATAAATTGATGAATATTTACACTCAATTTAGCAATTCAAAAATTCAAAGACCTTTGTAGATTATCGCGGACTTTAACATTCCTAATTATACCTGTCAATTTAAAATGATCAAAGTTCCAGCTTAACTTTCAAGCAAACTTAAATGGCCTGCGGTTCGGTTGCAAGAAGCAAGCAAAGTATTTATTTCGGCATTCAATTTATGCGTGTGAGTGTGAGTGCAAAAGTGTAAGTGTGAGTATGAGTGTAGGATGGATATAGGGTGTGGATGTTGGTTGTGTTTGGCTTTGACAAGCGGCAAACTTTTCTTGCACGCATTTTGCAAATGCCGTTGGTCATAAACTAAACGAAACTTTAAGGCCCCGCTAAGCAAAAGGAAGCCAGAGGCCACATTATACTAATACATACATACATATGCACGTGCCGCAAACAAATGCGGGAAACTGTTAGCTGGAAAGTAAAAGTTTTAAATGCACTTAAGCCGGGTGCTAAAACCAACACAGTGACAGTTGGAGTCGGCCAAAACAAAGAGCGAATAACTGAGATTTGTTTATTGTGTTAGCTGGCTGGCCTGTGTTTCCATTGCTGCTTTTATTTAGCGGCTACGCAAACAAGAGCAAGCACGCAGAAAAAATTTCTCAACTTTGTCATGGCAATGACACCTTGTTGGCTTATCGGCCATGCATATGCAAGCGAACAGCGACACACACACACACACACACACACTCGAGAAGTGGTGTATAGTGGGTGGGTGGGGGTTTAGCGATTTGGGTCAAAGTGTTGGCAAAACAAGAATGCAAAGCATAGCGCCATTTGCCGTCGCTATTGCCGCTCGTCGCTCGACGCTTTTTTTTTACCTTTTTTGCTTCCGTTCCGTTCTGCGTAGTTTTCCGGTTGGTTGTCCGACTGACTCGAGTTCAGTTCAGTTCAGTTCAGTTAGATATAGCTTGGCTTAGCTTAGTTAAGTTTAGTTTGGTTTGGTTGAGTTGAGTTGAGTGGGTTGTGCTTTCACTTTCCTTCATCACTTGTGTGGACTATTGTTTTTCGTCGTCGACGTTTTAGTTGGCGCTCACACAGGCGTTCACAGTTGTCCTGACAATGTGTTGAGTGAGGACATTTGCGACTGTTGAACAAACAAAAACACACGAGCACACATACGAGTACACATTCACATACATATATGCACGTACACAGAGTGAGCGAAACGGTGTTGCAAATTTTTTCGCCTTGTTGCTGCCTTTCACTTGCGGCAGAAATGCCAGCCAGACATTTTTCAAGCGCACAATTGCGTTTTCAAGGATAAAGAGGCATATACGAGTATACGCACGCTACGATTATAAACTTTTGCGGCAAACTCACGCACGCACTTATACAAACGCAGATACACGCAGACGCGCACCCACGAATCTCAATCTCAAGTGGCTTGAACAGCGGCGGCGGCTATTTACGATTCATCCGATGGTTATTGTGATTATTTTTATTCTTATTCTGCTCTGATTCTGATTGACAAACTGCACGCACTTTTGACGAGTACCTAAAGCCGCCTTCTTCCTGCCGCACTACTTCTACTTCTTCGTGTTTTTATTGTTGTTGCTATTGTTATTGCACCGTTTAGCAATGGCTGAGCGGGCAGAATGTGTACAAGTATGCCGTTAGCTTCCGTTACGAGTACAGCTTGCAACGAGTATACGACGCAGACTAAAAAGTAGAAGCCCACGAGCACGGTGCACGCCCGTATAGCAGCAAACGGTAAAAGGCAAAAGGCACAAGCTCGGCTGACAGCTGGAAGTGCCGAGCACAGCTGCTGCTGTTGCTGCTGAGCGTGCGAGTTTGCGAGTCTGCGCCTAGCGCCGAGCTCAACGAGCTTTCGCTCAGCAGGACTACTTAGCTCTGAGCTTTATCCTACTTTCAATTACCAGCAGGTCAGTTACGCGCATTCATTGTTGACTCACAACGAAGGCATTGGTTTCGTTTTCATTGCACGATGGCTGACAGCTGACGGGCCGCGAGCTTCCAGTTTAAGAGAGTCGCCCCACACTTCCAGTCCTCGACTCTCTTAGATCTCAGACGGCATATTCAATGAAAAAAAAACAAAAAAAAAAACAACAAAAAATCAAATAAAAACAAAACTTCGTTTTAGCTGTGCTACATTTCTAAATTGCGTTTGCTTTGCTAATGTCACGTGCTTATTGCGTTACTCATTTAATTCAACTAGGCGGTTCGACCGCACAGCTGAGACGACAAACAGACGAGGCAAGGGAAGGCTGCACAGTTCATGCAGCAATTTTAGAAATACTTTAGGCCCACACCATTCCAGCGGATTTTGGTTGAAAGCCTCATCTCAGCTCTAGCCACAGGCCTAGTCGACATTCTGGCTGGCCGTCTCTCGGGTTGCAAATCAGTGCAGAGTGTTCTACGAAATTGATGCGACACTGCAGCAACCGCCAGTGGCAGCTAAACTTTTGTGGTGACCATACGTGAAGTAGACTCTGGCCTCAAAGACACGACAAGCACCACAAAACTACACACACACGCCTACGCTCACTACCATACATATCCATATGCACTATGAAACAAATATTGAATAAAGGACTATTTATGAAATTAACTTCTGCAAAGAGCGTACAGCTTTTGATCTGAAGGATGAGAATCGATATGACAAGATGCATTTGTAGACGCATCAAATAAGAAAATAGTTCTTAGCTTAATTAAATTAATTCAATTTTTTAATTGAGGATTTTAACGAAGCTAACAAATGTGAACAAATGGAGGAAGTGAAAAATAACACAAGCTAGTTAAAACATATCCTAACAGCACAAATTAAAAATGTTTGTTAATAGTTAAGCAGAAAAGAAGGTTTAAAATACCCATACACTGAGCTAAATGCAATAGTGAAATACTCATATGGTTGTAATTCTCTCAGTGTTGATACCAGGACAACGACGACGACGACTATGACGACTACGACGACGACGACAACTATCGCTCGGCAACATCCGGCGGCTCTAACGTACGAGGTTTGCCCACATGCCGCTTGTCATTTTCCATTAGTGCACCATGCCGACCAACCTCAATGATTTCTTACTTACAGCGCGCAATTTGTATGTGTGTGTGTGTGTGTGTGTAAGTGTGCGCGGGAGCACGGAAGTATGGCCCGGAGCGGACGCTCACACAGATACAGATACAGATACAGATACAAGCACACACCCATATCCCACACCCACACATGCGAATGTATATGCATAATCGCATTCGTATTGGTTTTCGAATGCTGTCGAGTGTCGAGCACTGCTGACATCGCTGCTGCCCGATGCGACTCGAGTCAGTGTACATGTACACGTATGTATGTGTGCGTGGTCGACTAAAAAGTACAGGAAATTGCTTTTGCATGACCGCATAAGTGGCAGGAGACGACAGAGAAGATGGCAGAAGATGGCAGAAGATGGAGAGCGCCGTAAAAGGGAAGCTGCGGCGATTGCAAAAGAATTGAGCTCAAAGAAATAAAAATGTATAAACTTTATCGAATGATAGTTTCGCGTTTTGTGCATCCCCATTGCCTTGTGCTCATCAAGCATTATTTCAGAAAAGAAACGAAAAACACCGATACATTTGCCATCTGCACTGCACCCATGGGTGGCAGCTGAAAAATGCTTTACATTTATTAAAATAAGCCGATCGGCATTATTCTCACACTTTATAAACGACCACAGATTTTTCAAAGGAAAAAATAACTACTGCTGCATAAATAATGCAAGAAAACAATTGGCTGCACAGACACACACAAACAAATCACTGGTTGGCTGTTGGTTGGCTTGACTGCTGGTTTTTGGTTAAATAGGTATTGCATGTCTGTGCGCCATTCGGTCAGCGGTCAATAAGCCCGAATCGTACCATTCAGGCTGTTTGACCTCGTTTAACCACCCGTTGTCACCAGCCACGCAAAATGATGTTCGTGCCACAGCGATAGCTAGATTTCATTCCGAAAGTGTTAAAATTATATTATTTGTCATATTATTTCACTGTACTATATACAAGTACTGTTGTACTTCCCTTTGCCATCTTAAACTTAAACTCAACAGATACAACAGATCATTTAAAAAGCGAGGAAGCTTTTCGCCAGTCAATAACAAATATAAATATATTAAGTTGTATTATTGTGTCATTGCTGTTAGGCACTAAAATTTATACCAAGGCAACAGTAGCAGAAGTGGCACTTATTTTGCTAGCACTCCTCTTTCATATCAAATCTACATATTTACTGCCCTCATTGCCTATTGTTTATACTGGATATATAATTACTGTAACGCATTCTATCCTGGAGTGAGCTGCAAAAGCAAACTGTGCGCTTATTTGTACGTATTAAATTCGTAATTACTACCCATTACGATTATAAAATAGAATCGGTAACACTTAATTGCAAATTCTGTAACTCCCACCGCAATTGAAAACATCAAAAACATTATTTGAAGAGGGGTCGAGATAGCAATCAGTGCAATGTTTTGTCGTATTCTTTCGGCTTTAAAATGAAATTTTGTTCATTATTAATTTACAAGCTAAAGAAAAGCGAGCGTTTTTTTTTTTAAATTACAAGTAGATTGAATATTGGAGAGCAGTCTAATATGTTTGAAGAAGAACGAAAGTGTATCGAACTGTTGGGCAGTAAGTTATACTATTAGTTAAGTGGGAATTCTAAGCAGACAACGCGCCCATTCTCAGGCACAACTCGGGCGCTAATTCTGCAGAGCGGTTTTGTGGCATACTGTCTGCTTAAATATATGAAGTATTCGAAGTAAAGGGAATGATAGAAGCAACTTGCCATACACAAATGCCTATTTTCAAATTATAACCTAATATTTTGGTACATATATAGTACATAGTTATAAAGTTTTGCACATATTCTATGGGCTCTAGAAAAACTAATGCATTTTCAATATAAGAAGACGCATATCATAATTTTTTGTTTCCAAATACAACTTTTCAGCATCATTCCAAAAGATACAAACATTTTCGCTTTAATGTATTACATTCTTTTCCAGCGAGCTGCTGTAAGTGCAATTTGCAATTCTTTAAGACTATGTAGAATTTTTGACTTAAATATTTAAGCACAAGCATATTGGTGCTTTTAGCTCCCGACATGGACAGGCCGCTCCAGTGTAACATAAACTCGTATGTATGTAACATTAGGTATGTGGTATGTGGTACATAAGTATGTACTTGTATGTGTGTATGAAGTACCCATATGTATGTTTGCAGTTTTATTAAATCAATTTCGGTTGTTGCTCTTTTGTACTACTTTCGCTTGTTTTTAGACAGGCGGCTGACACTCGAACCTGCCACTGCTACTAGCTCCACCACTGGAACTCACTTACGAGTAAGCGTTTGTCTGTATGACTTCAGATTGACTGACTGACGGAATGGCTGACTGGCTAACGGATTGACTGAATAAGTAAATGTATGTCTTACATATGCTGACATGCAACAAACTTTACCTCTAGCTGAACATGCAATATTTCTGCCGATGGTGGAGACTGGTTGCTTTTGTGTACCTTTGGGTGCGTGTGTGTGTTATAACACTAGCCCCACAATTTATTTATCTACACAGAGATGTTCATATGCATACATACATACATGCATACATGCAGCCGGCGAAATGCGTGTTGCAATGCAAATATTGACAGTGCAAAACATATTACCTGATTACATTTGGGTCAAGCAATTTTTGGCACCAACGCGACACTAAATGTTGTTATTTGTTTATGTGTCAAAGGGGGCTCACATGCGCACACACACACACACACACAAACACACATAAATACATATACACATATTTATTTGTATGTGTTGGGGTGGCCGAGAGACAGAAATTAATTAAAAGTTGGCTTGGTTGGTTTGTTGTTAATATTGTTGTTGTTGTTGTTGTTGTTGTTGCATGTGCATGCCAGCAAATTGACAAACACACACACAGCAACTCAAACACTCACTCACACACTCTGCTTTGTGTGTGTAGATTTTTATGCGCGTGTGCTTTTTTACGACCTTGGAACAAAGTTAACATTTTGGGACACTCGCTGTCGCAATGTTTACAAATAATAATGGCATTTATGACCCTGGCGCTCACTCACATACACACAGACACACACACACACACAAAGCCATGGATATGGCAGATGTGTGAGTGTTCGTGTAAACAGCAGCTATTTGGGGAATTCTTTTATAATAATTTTATTTGCCACACATAAGCAAGCGCGCCTTAACTGCACAAGCCCTGCAAAATGCAACATTTTCGTTGTTATTTTATTTATTCACATTTTGTGTTGATGTTTTCTTCTTCTTTTTTTCTTGCTTGCGACAAAATTAATTTAATGCTTGGCTGCAAAATTATTCTAAGCATTTCTGGCTGGCTTTCATATACAATTTTAGCATAATTCGTTTATGCACCTATGATTTTGCAATAAGGACGCCAAGCGGGAATTTCGAATGTTTTTAGGCTCTTGCTAATATGGTTTTCCATGGAACATGCTCCTTGTGTCTGAGCTTAGGCCCACTTTATGTTAACTCAATTAATTTGTGAGATATCAAGAACAGATTGACACTTGTATGCACACATTCGCAGCCATAAATACTCGAACATATGTATGCTTGTATGTTGTATATGTTTGACATACTCACATATATGTATATGTATGTATATGTTGCGCGGCACCAACTGTCAACGAGCAACATCCTTTTGCAAGTCGCGTCCTGTGCGTTCATGTATGTGCCCTTTGCCATGCGTTTGCCAAACGAAATGGGTTTAAGCAAGTGCGAACACACTCGCATACACGCACACCCAGCACACACTAGAGTAGAAGTAACAGAAACAGCAGCACCAGCAGCGTGGCATTAATTTCCGTTAATTAAAATAAATACGTCAAGCGATAATAAATGACATGCTGATGATATTAAATGCACACCTACACGACACTGCGACATGGCAACGCATTGAGAGACGACACCCTCTTGGTAACTATAAAAAAGCTGAATAAATAGATATGAAAAAAAGACAGACAGCAATTAGTTGCGCCTGTTGCCTTATTTAAAGTACCTCGGTGTGTGTAGAAGTGTGGCTGTGTGCTCCAAAAACTGTCGTCGCTTTGTGCACTTTGCTGCAATTAATTGCATAATTGATTTGCTCCGAGGCAAGGCATAAATTTTGACTAGAATTAATTCCGCTGCCAGACCAATTTACAGCTGGCGCTTGGCCTCAAGAATCGCTTGAATCAACAAACTATTCATTCTGGCTATGTCTGATTAAGTGAGATCAGCCTACTACATATTTTTTTAAATCTTGCCAATATAAGCCAACAGTTTGTTATCTCTGAACTCAATGACAAAAAATGACAAACATATGTATTTTAAAGGCGTTGATGCCTTTTTATACCATAACAAATAAATGTATGAAGTTATTGTATGATCAGTCTTATGCCTAACTGCATTCTACAAAATATAGAAGAATTAAATGAAAAACATCAGATTTTCTTATTTGAGCATCTATTCATCTTTTGTTCGGAAATTGCAGGTGTGCAAGGATTTTTCGTTTACACTTGACCAAGCTAATGCGAGTTCACTGTATTTTGCAGAGTAGGGGCCCTTGGTCTTGGCCACAAGCTCTCGACCACGGTCACTGCTTTGCTTTATGGCACACAACATAAATTCTATTCAAATTCTATATCACGTCAGCACGTAAGCTGCTCTGTCAAGCATAATATGTACAGTCTCAGGTCTCAGGTAGCAAGGTGTTGCCGCCCTGTTTACGTCTGTGTGTGAATTTGTGTACTTCTGTGTGTGTGTGTGTGTGGTGTGTGTCTGTGTGAAAGTTGTTACAAATACCTGCAGCCGAACATAAATGTTTTGTGTACGTGTGAGCAGCGATGGCTGATGGGACAGTAAAGAAAGCAACGATGGAGCGAGGCAACAAACAAAAGATTATCCTTGCCCTTCAGTTGGCAGCGTTCAAATACAAACTTACTTTGGTCACATACAGCGCCGTAGGTGTTGCTTATATACTTATATATATTCAGTATTTGTTGTTGCTGCTGAAACGTTGCAGTAATGAAAAAAAATGTCAACTTGTGCGAGTAACAAACACAGGCAAAGGCGAACAACAAAGGCAGTAACAGCAACACCAACAGCAACACCAACAGACGACATAGCACTAGATACAACAAAAGTGGCAACAACAACCAGTACAAAACATGTGTCAAACGCCAGACATTCTGAGGAATATTAATAACACTCTGCGAACATATTTTTCATTAAAGCATCTACTGCTGCACAGAGATGTCAGGCGCAACGTGCCACATGCCAGCGCACGATTAAACATATGTACACACTTTTATGTTTTCATGCATAAATATACTATACATATAAATACTTATATACGTGTACAGTCGGGTAGCAGACGGAGCTTTAAACATGATTATGCAAAATACACAGTACGCATTATCAACAAAGAATTTCATAAATTTAGTTGCAAAACGCTACGCCAAAGCTCACATGACCCTTGTGTATAATAAATACACCTGGGAGCGATTAGCGGCCATTTAACTTGGCGAACAAAATACGCCCAATCCCCCAAAAAGGACAAGCCTTGGCATCAAGTGAGTCCCAATGTTGCTAGTGGCCTTGAAAATTAAATGGCTTTTTATGTCTGCAAGCTTGCCACTGAAAAGTTTGTTCGCCACATATGCTAATGACTCTTGCTGTGGACCTGCAGGACCAACAATAACAATCACACATATGGCACATTAGCGGTTTCAAATTTGAAAAGCTCCGGAATACATTCATTCTATAAACAATATATGTAAATATGCTTATATCGATTATCTAGATTTTAGAAAATCTTTCTGACAATAAAAGCATAAAGAATTCGCTGATCTAAATGCAAATTTTTCAAACAAAAACCTACCAGCTTAATACATAATTTGCGCAAAATCTTCTATCCCATTAGATTGAAAAACAAAATTCATAAAAAATGTGCTCATTTTGTGCTAAAACTCAAAATCCAGTGTTCTCGAATTTATAGTAATTATAAGAAATTCCCAAATGGGGCTTATGCCATTGCATGCTTAAAATATGAGATGTGAATAATTGATTTCATAATCTATCTTAAAAAATAAAAGATGTCTTGAATTAAAAGTGGTTTGAGTACTTGTTTATCAAAGCATATTTAGCGTGCACTGTAATTCTACATTTTTACACATTTTCGATATGCACTGAACAATAAAATATTGATGGCTTAATTGAGCACTAAGGGAAGCCCAATTAAAAGCTGGTTGCAATGAATAACTAATAGTTTGAAATTTAAACTTTTGCACCTAATTGGTTGTGAAAAAGTCGCTGCAGATGCATATATAAGAGCATTGCTCGCTGTATGCCTCTAAACACCAGTGAAGACTCTAGTATTGAAACATGCACTTCAAACTAATCCATCCGGCACCGCCTGGTGAGCAAATGCGCTCCCGCGACAGTTTCATTTACATGTATCGCTTAATGAAGCTACTTGGCTGGTTTCCACCTAAAGGCGGGATTAAACGCTTTCTCTACCGCACTTGGACGATGTTTACCTTTGTCTGGTTCACCTTTTACCTACCAATGGGCTTTCTCCTGAGCTACATAACAACAATTAAGCAGTTCACAGCTGGCGAGTTTCTAACTTCGCTACAAGTGTGCCTCAACGCCTACGGATCCTCAGTGAAGACCTATGTCACCTATACGAACTTGAATCGACTAGTCAAGGCAAGGGACCTGCTTGAAAAACTGGACAAGCGCTGCAGTAGCACGGAAGAGCGTGGCAAAATCAATTCATTGGTGGCCCGTACTAGTCAAATATTTCTCATCTATACTTTTGTATACTGTTTTTTTGTGATTTCAACATTTTCCAGCAATACAGCTATCGGTCGCTTGCCCTGGTATGTACTCCCTCATATGAGAAAGATATTTGAAATTGTATAATTCGCTCGCAATTTCCCGAATGATATTTTTGGCTGACTTTTTACAATGCTTAAATTCAAGCAAAATAATTTCTTTAGGAGGCTCAACAAGTAGAAAAGAAATTAAACTTTTTCAAAAAGACACACAATCTTAAAGCACTGATAAATAATGTAATTTTGATGGGTAAAACCCATCTTTTGAGACTAAACATTACTACAAATTTTTCAATTTCAAAGCTGTTATGGCTGTCCGAATGTACCAAGATTTTCAAATGTGTGAGCCAAAATGAAGATTACTTATAATGTGTCTTTACAAATCCAAAATTATAACTTATACAATCAAAATCCAAAATGATATCATATATCAAATGTTGATTTACCTTTTTAGGCAGCTTTATAATCCATTCGTCGATCCGAAGGAGAGCACTCTACACTTTTGGATTGCATCAATAATCGAATGTATAATTATGTGGGGCGCTGTAATGCAAGACCAAACAGCCGATATATATCCGTTACTCTATAGCTACGTAATTCGCGACCATGTGCGAATGCTTACGGAACGCATAAGCAACCTACGTACCAACCCGAAGTTGAATGAGGATGAGTACTATGAGGAGCTAATTCAATGTATCATAGATCACAGGACGATTTTGCAGTAAGCTTGCAGCATGTTCAACAATTTTTCACGTGGTTAAATATCTATCATCTCAGGTATTGCGACTTTCTTCGTCCCGTAATATCGGGTTCAGTTTTCACACAGTTTCTACTCATTGGTCTGGTATTGGGTCTCACCTTAATCAATGTATTCTTTTTCTCGAGCTTATGGACAGGCATTGCCTCCGCCGGGTTTGTCGTTTGTATACTGATGCAAACATTTCCTCTCTGCTATACCTGCAACACACTAATGGACGACTGCGATGCGCTGACTTACGCCATTTTCCAATCCAATTGGAAAGATGCTCGGCGTAGCTATAAGTCGACGCTGTTGTATTTCATGCACAACGCGCAGCAACCCATCACTTTTATAGCTGGTGGAATATTTCCGATAACCATAAACAGCAATATAACTGTGAGTATACGAATTTAATTGTTTATTTAATGCTGTGGAAAAACAATATAGTAGAACATTTTAAAAGTACAATTAAAAACAAGGCCTATAAAATAACAATAATAAAATCGAATCCAATTTACAACACAAATGAATCAGAGACGTTGTTAGATCTAACAAAAAAAAAAAAATAGAGGCAAGGAAATGGAAATTTAAAAATTCAATACAAAGGAAATAAAATTTGATCAAGTGAACTAAAATATAACTAAAATACTACAATAACCATTAATTAAAATAAATTTTTTTTTTAAATATATAAAATGAAATGCATATCTAAAAATTGTTAAAGTAAAAAGAAATTCTAAGTATCCTTTATTTAACTATACATAAAAATAAATGCATTGAAAAATTAAATTAATAAATATTGACATTAGGCAATCAGCCAACATATGAACATATACTTAACACTTTTTATATTATTGTCTTTTAATGAGAAATAACAAATTATTTTTCTTAAAGGTGGCCAAGATATCATTTTCTGTCATAACAGTTTTCAAACAAATGAATATTGCTGAACAATTCAAATCTGGATAAAAAGGCGCTGGATTTCATTTTAATTTAATATTAAATAAAGATTGAAGTTAGAAGAAGTTTACTGCGTAAGAAGTAAGGTCTTTAAAAGTTTAAATATTGTTGAAGTTTATTGTATTAAGTTGTCTTTTGTTAAATCTATCTACATAAATTAATAAAAATGTAAATGTAAATGTCTAAAAATTATACATCCATTATGCTCTAATATAAATCAGTGTAAAATTCGATCAAAGGGCTTTTTTTAATATAATCATCGCATTAGTAAGATATCCGGGACGGCAAACTGTAATTTAGCAAATGCGCCATCTATCGGTAGCTAGGAGAACATCGCTAGCGCCCAACGCAATCGTACTATATGTATGTACAATCTTAATTCATTACTCATCTCGATCGGTGCTTGATTGAGCTCTATCCTTTGCTTCATATTTTTAATAGAATACTAAATATTGTAAAAAAAAATTCGGAGCGGATTGGGAAATAATAAAAACCAGGACATAAGCACTCAACTTTAATTTCAACTTCGGTTTTTCTGCAAAACTTTTTTTTACATTTAAAACTATCGCATAGACTTGACCAAATTTTTATATGAGTATATACGTTAGTTACATAGAAAGCTATGTAATATTTAATCGATTCAATCAGGTAACTTTTTATCACGCACCTCCTACTTACCAAATTTTCAATGCACAATTAAGCATCAGAAATAGTAAAACACGGAACTAAATTTTAAAGTGATGAATTAATTATAAGTAACGCTTCAAAGTCAACTCCTAACTTTTGAAATATTTGAACGCAACAATTGGAATAACGTTTGCTATATAAGCCTTCAGAGTAGTCTGTAGTATTACAAATCTTTTGGAACGCTACTCCTGTAACATGGTCTTCAAATTAATTCGGCGGGCACCGCATAGTGAACAAAAGCAGTCCCGCGATGGTTATATTTATTTGTTTCGTTTAATGAAGTTCCTTGGCTGGTTGCCGCCGCTAAGCGGAATATTTCGATACGTCTACCTGTCATGGACGGCACTAACCTTTGCCTTGTTTACAATTTACCTACCAATCGGCTTTCTCGTGAGCTACACTACTAAAATTAGGCAGTTCACGGCAGGTGAATTCCTGACTTCACTGCAAGTATGTCTCAACGCTTACGGATCGTCTGTGAAGACAGCTTTTGCCTATTCGAACTTGGATCGACTAATCAAGGCAAAGGACCTGCTCGACCAGCTGGACAAGCGCTGCACAAGCAAGGAAGAGCGGGAGAAAATCAATCACATGGTGGCCCGTACTAATCAAATATTTCTCACCTATACTTTTGTATACTGTTTCTTCGTGATTTCCACCTATATTAGCAGCACAGTATTCGGTAGTTTACCCTGGTATGTCCTCACTGAGCTCAGAAACATATATTAAATTCGAAGCGTCTGCACTTACACTTCATGCACTGAGAACAGATATTCGAATGACACAAAATCCATAACTTAAGAACAGACAAAAGGCTTTGGATAGGAAAAAATTCAGATAGGAATAGAAAACCAAATACGTATACATAAAAATCCTTGAATATAATATTAAATTTCATAAATATTACCCTGGATGTCCAAACATAAAATCAGCAGAGCTCGTCGGATACGGCGAAGAATATTTTTATTTTAAACAATTAGCTGTTTTTTCTATAGTCTCAGATACGGAAGAAAATCTAAAGAACTCTTTTAAGCCAAATTGTTGCGCAAATTATCATAGCTCAGAGAATCTACCAAGGTTGATCCATAATTAATCATCGTTTTCTAGGCAAATTTACGATCCATTGGTTGATCCGAACGAGAGCACTTTGCAGTTTTGGATTGCCTCAGTGTTGGAACTATTTGGTATGTGGGGTGCCGTCTTGCAAGATGAAGTAGTCGATACCTATCCACTAATATACACCTACGTAATTCGTTCCCATGTGGAAATGCTAAAGGGTCGTGTAATCCAACTACGCACCAATCCCAAATTGAGTGAGGATGATTACTATGAGGAGCTAGTCCAATGTATCACAGATCACAGGACGATTTTGCAGTAAGTTGCAGACAGTCCAACAATTTATATCGTTATTAAACAGCTGCCATCTCAGGTACTGCGACTTACTTCGACCCGTACTGTCGGGTACGGTTTTCACACAGTTTCTACTCATTGGTGTGGTACTGGGCCTTACCTTAATCAATATATTTTTTTTCTCAAGTATCTGGAATGGAATAGCATCCGCTACTTTTGGATTTTGTTTATTACTGCAAACATTTCCCCTCTGCTATACGTGTAATCAAATAATGGATGATTGCGATACCCTCGCATACACCATTTTCCAGTCAAATTGGATAGATGCTAGTCCTCGCTATAAGTCGGCGATGTTGTATTTCATGCACAATGTACAGCAACCTATCATTTTCATAGCTGGAGGAATTTTTCCAATAACCATAAGCAGCAATATCACTGTGAGTTCATCATACAAATCGATTATTTACTTATACGAGAATAGAATATATTCTTACAGGTGGCGAAGCTTGCGTTTTCGGTTATAACTGTCTTCAAGCAAATGAATATCGCTGACAAATTCAAGTCCGTATAAAAGAATAATAAGATTAAGTGTCATCAGCTGTTTGCATTTATTGAGAAACTGTGTAATAAAGTATTGAGTTTTTAGAACGATTAATATATATTAAGCATGGTGTGGATGCCGCGAGAACTTCTCTACAATTCGCATTTTCTGCATGAACGCGAACACTGACATGGCGAACTTCATCATCTGTAAGCAAAGGTTATTGCGAATATCGAGGTTTTTTCAGTCAAGACATACATCAATATTTGTAGCCAGCGATATGGGGAACACATTTATGGCCATGAACTTGATGGGCTGCTGTAGCTTCTGCAAAAAGTATTGCATTGTCTTCTTGTAACGCTGCTCTTCTTCAATCCAGTTCGATTCAAATAGGGCATCTGCCAACTGGTGCAGAGATAACAAAACGGGGTGGTTTCCAACAACACGGCAATCAGAAAGGATACTGAAGTGAATACCGTTCCCCAATCATCGCTCATCATTATGCTAAAGACCGTGAAGCCTATAACTAGACCCAGAACCAGGAACTGAACAAAAATGGTTCCCGATATTATGGGACGTAATACATCACAATATCTGTAATGGAGTTTGTTTTTACTTCCAATGCCATTGGAATTACATTGTCAACTAACCCCAAAATGGTCTTATGATACTCGATGCAATCAACTAACTTCCTATAACGTTCTTCGGGAGTACTCAAATCTTCACCCAGTTGCCGCAAGCGCTCCGAAAATATACGTATATGAGTTTGGAGTGGCAATATAAACACAATGGGATAGCAATCGACGCAAGCATTCTGAAAACCCTTACCCAGCGTGCTAAAAAATTCCAGCGTCAACTGAAGCCAAAAGTTTAAACTATTTGCGTGCCAGTCCAACATCGGATAATAGTTTTGATACGGAGGCCTACCCCTTTTGACGGCCAGGAAGAAGGTGCTTACCACATATGCCGTGTAGAAAAGGATATAGTAGAGCACCACTCGATTACAGGTGGCCACCGTGCGATGTATTCGGCCTTGCTCGGGGCGTTTTGTCACAAGCTCATCGAATTTATCAAGAGTTTCTATGGCACAATCCAACCGATGAATCATTGCCCACACGATAAGCACTTTGATAGAACTTGCCAAGGTATTTAAAGCCACCTGTAATGAGCTGAGAAACTCCACAAACATATACTCATTTAGATGACTGATGTAGCCCATCATAAAGCCGAATGGATGATAGAGAGTAGAGCTAAAGTTGATCACAAACGACCAGAAACAATATATAAAATAACATTCTTGCGGTGGCTTCCGGATACCCATAAAAAAGATGCAACGCATTAAAAATTTTGTAGCTAAATGTGAACGAGCCGGCTCAATATCCGATGAGGTGAAAAATTCCGAAAAAGTGGCACGCAAGGCAACCATGACCATCGACAACTTACAAATACAGTATACGCCTTACCTCCTTTTATATCATAGCTCTACACAAGTCCAATTAAAAACACATCAGCTCAGTGGTTATATAATATACCATTTATTTTATATAACACTTTGTATCACACGTTAGCACTTTATAATTTAATCAAATTGTAGCTCCAAACGTAACCAATAAGTAATCTATGTGGAAATTTCCCATATGGATGACTTAGGTATCATTAAGTAGAACGTCATGGTAACTTAAGTTTTATTTTAATCAGCAAATTTCTTACTTGTATATCAAAAATCACCCATTGATACGATCAGTTAGATAATATTAATTTTTGTTGCAGGATTGTTAGATTGATTGATAGAAGACTATGTAAGCCGAGGAAGAGGCGGACATGTTAGTATTAATACATTTATAATCTACTCGAACTTATTTATGTTTCGGTGATAATTTTAAAAGATCTTCAATCAATAAAAACAATTGATGGTTTATTTTTAAAAAGAAGCTACTATCATGCTGCTGCTTCAATAAATAATAGTTCTCCGCAGTAAGGTATTAGGAAATATAATGAACGAAGATTACTTATGCCTCTTGGGAACTCTCTGACATATTTCTATTCTCTCCAAAAATATCTCAAAGTCGCTTTTCAATGAATTCATGCAGAGTCGTCTTATACATCAAAAGCTTCCATCATAATCATTTAAAAAACAATAGGAAAATATTTTTCGTTTTCCAACCTTTTGATTTATTTATTTTCTATTCAATTAGTGCATAAGTTGGCAATAATATTTTAACAAGGGTGTGGGAAAGTAGTAAAGTAGTAAAGTAAAGTAGTAAAGAAAAATTGTTCGAAAACAATCGCACTTCATACCGAATGATTGCTATTTCTTGTTCGTTAACATCTTTTCCGCTAAGTTCATTTGCTTAACCAATGCGAACACTGAAAATCCAAATTTCGTCACCTAGAAATAGCATTCAATGAAAAAATTCTCTTCAAAATTATCTGAACTAAGATATGATCACCTTAATGCTCGTGCCCACAGATATAGTGAAGATTCCCATAGCCTTGAAGCTGATAGGCTGCTGCAGCTTCTGTAAAAAATAGAGTACGGTCTTCCTATACCGCTGCTCTTCGTCCATCCACCCCGACCCGAAGAGGGCATCCGAAAGATTGTTGCAATCATGTGTCAAATAGGTGCAGAGTATACAGAATGGCGTTGTCTCAATCAATGCAGAGCTTAAGAAAAAAAAAGCAGCAATACCAGAGCTTACGCTTGCAAAGAAAACAAGATTGATCAGTGTTAGGCCCAGCACTACACCCACTACCAGCAATTGAACGAAAATAGTGCCCGATATAACAGGGCTTATAACATCAGCATATCTGCAAATCATATATTTTATATCAGCAATATACAGGGAGAAAATGGTTTTACGCACCGCAAAAGAAGCTTATGATCCAGTATACAATTGATAAGCTCCTGATAGTGCTGCTCCGAATTCAGGGTATCGTTGGTAGTTCGGCCAAGCTGACGCAAACGGTTCGCCAAAAGATTGACATGAGCTCGCAATGGTAGCACAAAACTAATTGCATAACAATCAACACAGGCATCCTGAAAGCAGGCGCCAAGCATTGCAAAATACTCGAGAAACGTTTGCAACCAAAATTTCCAAGCGCTGGCTCGCCAATCCAGGAACGGAAAGTAGTTCTGATAAGGAGGGCGACCATGCCTGGCGGCAGATAGAAATGTAGTCGTTGCATAGCTGATATAAACGCCCAAGAACAGTAAGAAGGCGCGATTGCTCTGTGCAACGGCCCGATGTATCATCCGTCTCTCACTCGGCTGAGTCACGCGCTTGTCCATTTTATCCAGCAGGACTGCTGCTTGGTCCAAACGCTTGAGCAGGGCCCATAGAATCAGCACCTTGATCACGCACGTCCACACATTGAATACTACCTGTAATGAGGTGAGAAACTCGCCAGGCGAAAACTCTTTCAGGTTAATGATTACACCGATCACGAAGCCAATAGGTTGGTAGAAGGTCGAGTTTATATTGAGGACCAGCGACCACAGGATGTAGATGACAAAGAAGCGCTGCGGCGGCTTTCGTATGCCTATATAGAAGATACATCGCATTAAATAAGTTAACGAGTTTCGTGAGCGTGCTGGTGAATCCTCCGATGCCATAGACGTGGATGGAAAGATCAATCTCAGGGCCATTGCGCTCCGCTTAAGGACAATTTAAGTTATGCCTGCCTCACACTTTATGACTGGGCCTTTTATTTTCCAACCATTGCACAGTGATCAAAACATCAAAAACTAAAATACCAACTTGTTTAAAATAAAAATGCTAATTAAAGCTATAGTAGAAGAATACAATTTAATTGATCAAAATCACGCGAATATGGGAAATGCTTGATAATTAAAAAATGATTTTCACATACAAGTGTCGATGGCTAAATCAAATGTTTGGTTTTTAAGTCAGCAATGAATCGTTGATTTTTACATATTTATTTCTATGTCAATGCCGATTTTTTACTCAATCACAAACTTGCCAAGAAAATTACCTATTCCTGTTTACTTTTTTCTGCCCCTTGTATATAAAATTGATGTCTCTCAAGGTATCCTAAATTTACATAATATTTGTGTCAACGTATGAGCTGCTAACAAAGTTTGGGGAAAAATATGTCTCCCTAATACCTGATGATCACTTAGCAGCAAAAAAAAAAAAAAAAAAACTAAGAGCATGTTATTTCCAAGTTTTTGAAATATTTATCTTGATCAGCATAAGAACACGAGTCATAGTAGATATTTTTGTGTGTCTTACAAAACTCGGTATGGCGTTACATCTACATATACCCGGGATTCTGTAATCCTTGGAATGTCACCTCTGCCCATGTCAATATAACAGTTGTATCCGTTTTTTTTCAATTTTATTATATTTTGTAGAATGTAAAGGTTCTAGACCACTGTTTAGTGGCGTGATTATAAGCTCATCAACTATCCCGATTTTAAAAATAAATGAACAAAATAACACTTGTCTGTATTAAGCCAACTTAACTTAAATTATAAGTGGCCAAGGTCAAGGACTATTGGATTTATATTAAAATTCGTATGAAATTTTCATACGCTGACACGTTTTCCATTAATTAGGAAACGTAACCTCAAGCGTAACTGAGTCATGCTAAGGTTATGAGAATGATCAAGAAGTATTTTAGGGACTGCATGGAAATAGAGTTTAATAATATTCGAATGTTTTTGTGAGCAAGACCAAGAACGACCTGGATCTGTTGTGCACCTATCTATTGAATTGCAAAAAACAAGGAGGATTCCTTGATCTCAGTGCCAATATTTCTGCTGATCACAAAACAATCTTGCAATTAAGTAATAATTTTGTATTGAAATAATCTGTATGAACTGCTTATAAAATTAGTTTGAAGTAGAATTATTTGTAATTATTTGATATGTGGAGTCTTGCAAGATGAGAGAGTCGGGCTGGTATGAATTAACGTTCTACTTCTTCATACAATTTATTTCAATTAGTGAAAGGTAACAAGGAACAAGTTAAGTTGCATTGCGTTACTTCAAATGTAAATAAGGTTATAGGCATAAATATAATTTTTATCCATGCTCTGCTAAGTGGACACACATTGTCGCAGTGCCGATGTTAATTAATTATTTTAAAACAATACAAAAAAGGTGTCACACATAAGATCGAAAGAATTTTTTTGATATACATGAATTTAAAAATTTTAAGGGTAGCAATCAATGTAGTATGCAATGAAGCTTTAAGGATAATGCTATAATATAATAACACATTATTACAAGATAAAATGCTAAATCTTTTTCTCTAAATGGTCTCCAAGTCACTTTTCATGCAGTTCGCCAACACAAACATCAAAAGCTACTGTCATAATCAAAAAAACAGAATATAATTTCCATTTTCATTTATTTATTTTTCTACTCAAATAGTGCATTAAGGTTTCCGCATCACCTTGCTGGTGCATTCATATTTATTGTTAGTAGTGAGAAAATCTTCCAAAACAATTTCACTTCATTGCAAATGATTCCTATTTGTTAGTCGTTAACATCTTTTCCGCTAAGTTCATTTGCTTAACCAAAGCGAACACTGAAACTGCAAACCTTGTCACCTGAAAATAGTGCTCTATAAAAAATGAGTCTACCAAAAAATACCAAAAAAATAATATAACAATGATCACCTTAATATTAGTACCCACAGATACAGTGAAGATTCCCATAGCATTGAAGCTGATAGGCTGCTGCAGCTTCTGTAAAAAATAGAGTACGGTCTTCCTATACCGCTGCTCTTCGTTCATCCACCCCGACCCGAAGAGGGCATCCGACAGATTGTTGCAATCATGTATCAAATAGGTGCAGAGTATACAGAATGGCGATGTCTCAATCAATACAGAACTCAAGAAAAAAATAGCAGCAATACCAGAGCTTAAGTTTGCAAAGAAAACAAGATTGATCAGTGTTAAGCCCAGGACTACACCTTCTACCATAAATTGAACGAAAATAGTGCCCGATATAACAGGGCTTATAACATCAGCATATCTGCAAATCATATATATTTTAGATCAGAAATATCCTGAGAGGAAAACAGAGCTCATAAATACACACCGCAAAAGGAGTTTATGATCCTGTATACATTTGATAAGCTCCTGATAACGCTGCTCCGAATTCAGGGTATCGTTGGTAGTTTGTCCAAGCTGACGCAAACGGTTCGCCAAAAGATTGACATGAGCTCGCAATGGTAGCACAAAACTAATTGCATAACAATCAACACAGGCATCCTGAAAGCAGGCGCCAAGCATTGCAAAATACTCGAGAAACGTTTGCAACCAAAATTTCCAAGCGCTGGCTCGCCAATCCAGGAACGGAAAGTAGTTCTGATAAGGAGGGCGACCATGCCTGGCGGCAGATAGAAATGTAGTCGTTGCATAGCTGATATAAACGCCCAAGAACAATAAGAAGGCGCGATTGCTCTGTGCAACCGCCCGATGTATCATCCGTCTCTCACTCGGCTGAGTCACGCGCTTGTCCATTTTATCCAGCAGGACTGCCGCTTGGTCCAAACGCTTGAGCAGGGCCCATAGAATCAGCACCTTGATCACGCACGTCCACACATTGAATACTACCTGTAATGAGGTGAGAAACTCGCCAGGCGAAAACTCTTTCAGGTTAATGATTACACCGATCACGAAGCCAATGGGTTGGTAGAAGGTCGAGTTTATATTGAGGACCAGCGACCACAGGATGTAGATGACAAAGAAGCGCTGCGGTGGCTTTCGTATGCCTATATAGAAGATACATCGCATTAAATAAGTTAACGAGTTTCGCGAGCGTGCTGGTGAATCCTCCGGTGCCGTATACGTCGACGGAAAGATCGATCTCAGGGCCATTCTGCTCAGCTTAAAGGCAATTGAAGGTATGCCTACCTCGGAGTTTATGACTGGGCCTTTTATTAGCATAAGTTGCACAGTGGGCTTAAACTATTATTTATATATTATTAATTAATGCTCTTCTTTATAATAAATTCATTTATTTTTATGTACGATGGAGCTTTATCTCCGAATTCAAAGCTAAGATTACAGCATGAATATTTGCATATTCAATTTGTTTTTGTTTCATGTATTTATCATATATTTATATTTGGTTTGTATTTATGCATGCTGTTTAGTTGTACTTGTGTATGTGATTCCAAAGCACTTAAGAATTAGTCGGTAAACACTAGAATCTAAGGGTTCTGCACCACTGTTTATTGTCGTGATTATAATCTCATTAGCCATCGCGCTTTTAAAAATAAATGAACAAAATATCAACTCTCTGTTTTAAGTCAACTTAACACTTGCATATCTTATAGGCAAGGTCAGCATAATCGAATTAATTTATCGATTGCTTTGAATAAAATATATCCTTTCTGCTCTCAAAACCCATATTTGTGCTAATCACAAGACAGTCTTGCAAATGTGTTCTACATAGTATGTTATGCGATGATATAGAGTACTACATAATGCCTCTGCCGGGAAATGTTTGATGACAAACTGGATAAAAAACTATCAAAAACCTATTCAAAAATCATATTGTAAACTTTTCGAGATGATACCAATATCAAATCTTACCTTTGATGTAATATGAAAAGGATAAGTGAACCCAGACCACAACTCGAGTGCAATCACTATTAAGGTAGATGCCTGCCATCTAGGATATGGCATCACTAGCACCCATCAAGGCTCACGGAATCAATACTAATGGTTCTATAATAATTCTCCAGAATACTTAAGGCACAAATGACCTTATTACTACTAGATATTACCCAATTGGATTAATTTGATGGGTACAACACATCAGCAGGCAAAAATTCAACAAATTGAGTGCAAATTGAGTGCCGCAGCAGAAACTGCCATAGACGTGGCTAAGCCAACAGAATGACGTGAATTCCAGGCCTCACAAAATAATTTCCTTTCCTACAACACAGGTGCTAAGAGTCCTGCCTACAGCATACTAGCCCGCAAACCGCAAAAAGCGATTTCAAACAGGATGCCGTCGAAGCGGAGGCAGACAACACAGTAGATTGCTTCATAATTACTGTCACAACGGGAGCTAAACGAAACATGACGATGACAATGACTGCACAGATGAGTATTTCACTGTCGAGTGTGATGTTAGCATGGATTTTTAACAAGTTCAAGCTCCAACCGAGTCTAAATCAACTGCTGATGAAACAGTATAAGTATGTTTATAAAGTTGTATTCTCAAAAATATCATATAAAACTAACAATTCTGCAAATCGAATCTGTTCTTAACTAATGCTGGGAGTTCAATGTTCCCGATTGCCTGTAGACAATCTTTCAGCCAAATTCATTTGTTTTACCAACGTGAATACGGAAAACCCGAACTTGGTCACCTGAAAAAAGGATATCTTGAGAAATGTATATGTATTGTTATACTTTTATGTATGTATGCTCACAGTAATGTTGGTGCCCACAGATATAGTGAAGACTCCCATAGCCATGAAAGTGATTGGTTGCTGTAGCTTGTGCAGGAAAAAGAGGACGGTCTTCCTGTACCGCTGCTCTTTGTCCATCCACTCCGACTCGAAGAGGGCATCGGAAAGCTTGCTGCAATCGTCTGTCAAAAAGTTGCAGAGTATGCAGAAAGGCGTTGTTTCAAGTAAAACAGCACTCAAGAAAAACAGCGCGGCAACTCCAGAGGCTAAGTTTGCAAAAAGGACAAGATTGATCAGTGTTAAGCCCAGGACTACCCCCACTACCAGAAATTGAACGAAAATAGTGCCCGATATAACAGGACCTATGACATCACAGTATCTGCAAATCGAATTTCTTACAACAACAATATTCCGCAGGAAAATTGAGCTTTTACACACCGCAAAAGGAGTTTATGATCCTGTATGCAATTGATGAGCTGTTCATGTCGCTTCTCGGAATTCAGATTATCGTTGGTCGTTTGTCCAAGCCGACGCAAGCGGTCCGCCAAGAGGTTGACATGGACCCGCAACGGCAGGACAAAATTAATTGGATAGCAATCGACACAGCAGTCCTGAAAGCAGGCACCAGCCATTGCAAAATACTCGAGAGACGCTTGCAACCAAAATTTGCAGGGGCTGGCTCGCCAGTCCAAGAGTGGATAGTAGTTCTGATAGGGCGGGCGACCATTCCATACAGCACCCAGGAACGTTGTCGTCGCATAGATCATGTAAACAGACATAAACAAAAAGAGGACTCGATTGCTCTGCGCAACCGCCCGATGTATCATCCGTCTCTCACTCGGCTGAGTCACGCGCTTGTCCATTTGATCCAATAGGTCAGCAGCGTGGTCCAAGCGCTTGAGCAGGACCCACAGAATAATGACCTTGACTGAGCACGACCATGCATTGAACGCGACCTGTACTGAGGTGAGAAACTCGCCAGCCGAGAATTCTTTCAGGTGAATAATTACACCTGTCATAAAGCCAATGGGTTGATAGAAGGTCGAGCTAATATTGAGGGCCAGCGACCACAGGATGTAGATGACAAAGAAGCGCTGTGGTGGCCTCCGTATTCCCATGTAGAAGACGCAGCGGCGCAAATAAAGCGCCGCATTTCGAGAACGTGCTGGGGAATCGTCCGGTGCCGTATACATGGCTGGAAAAAGCAAACTCAGGACCATTGTGCTCAGCTTGCTGGCAATTGCAGATGTGACTAGGCCGACGTTCATGACTAGTCCTTTTTATTTCCCAACCATTGGCGTGACTAAAAACAGCTGAGCCATCGGGCACTAAAAAATTAATAAGCTATGCAATGTAAAATATTCAGCTTGTAGTAAACTTTAACGGCTTTTAAGTGACCCAACCATTATGCCCATTAGGACAATCTGGAGGCGTAGTCATAAATATCAAAACTCAAATGCTAATTGATTCAGCTTACAACACGTAACATTTAGAAAGCTGAAAAAGTTTGCACTTGAATAACTATAAATAAATTATGTCAACGTCACCTCTGGCGCGACTAACAAGCTTCAGACATTCACCGCACTTCAAAAGTCCGTGACATCCCACCATTTACTTATAGGTCCGAAAACTGTGCGGTAAATATTACTTACTTGAGAAGCTATTACTCGTACGCATGATAAATGCAATTATTCCGATGCCAAAGCTCTCATTTCCAATCATAAAAGGTTTTATGTAAAATTATCTAATATTTGGCTCAGATATTCCTGTTTAGAAATAAAGTTGTGATTTCCGACCAATAAAGCATTATAAACCGGTTATTCCTTGGTTCCTACAAATAAAATCATAGTCCTTAGCCAATTCAAATTTTATATTCTTAAATTCACATATTGTATTAACTTTCTTAAGTAACTCCAGATCGGATGATGCTTACAATTAGAATAGAACAGTTGGACAAGCCAAACAGTGAAACACCCTACATCCGTCGTGCTGTTCAGAGTTAAGTTCACTCTTCGGGTATTATGTACTAAATTATAATAAAGTTTAATTAATGAATCCTCCGAAGAAGGAAAAAAACACAAATAAGACTTGTATGTGCAAATTTAACTTTGCCTTTAGTTCTTGATACGAACGGACAGACATGTCTAAATCGACTCGACTGCTAATGCTTATAAAGGTTATATGTAAACTATATATACTTTATGGAGTAAAAAATGTTTCCTTCCGGCAGGTAAGTTTTTCGTTTTGCACAAACTCAGTATAGCCCTTCTTTTTGTTAGATACAGGTTATACGTAACGCTATTTAAGTACCCAAAGCTTTAATTCGTAAACAAATGTTGATGTTTTCCAAATAAAGCTCATTGCCTTTCAACAAATATTGTACTGCACACAAAGTGTCCTGCATTAAACCCAATTTTCACATTAAATCAAAGCAAGTTATTTTCTAACCTTGCCCGAAACACTTTGCACTTTCCTTAACAATTTATTTGCTGAATAGACAAGTACTCCTGTCTATGCGGTAGTTGATTGGATATATTTCTCGAAAATTCGAAGTCTTTTAAGCTTTTCGACTGTGTCATTTGGCGAAGCTAATGTCCCAGCTGCAATTTCTTTATTTAATTTACAAACTGTGGCAGCTTTTCGACAACATGGCAGCAACAACAAACCTGCGAGTAGGTGTTCACCTTTAAAATTTGTCAACGGGCAGTGACTACTTACTTTAGAATATTAAATCGAACGCGAACAACTGCCACCCAAATAAACTAATTTATTAACAATATTATAAAAAAGAAGGATGCAAATAAGTTGCATTTAGTAGTAGTTTGAAGGAGACCAATATTAAAAAACCTGTACGCAAAATGTCAATACATAATTAGTATTGATTGCTTGATTGTATTGATATTTTATTGACAGTATTTCGCATCACAAAAATTTCCTGCCACAAGTGCGGTATTTTGTTGCCAAAAGCAAATTCATTTACACTTGAAGCGTTCGGCCAGAGACTCGTTTCGAGCTGAAGCAACAAGTCAACATCGAACCAGAAATGGAAAGTAAGGCCAGCAAAAAGACGCCAACAGCTTGCCAAATGTTGATATTAGCCAGACTCAAATCAGACAAATCAAAAGGTGACCTTGGAGTGTGCAACTTTCAAATCGTTGTAGATTCCGTTTCCGTTTCCACCTCCTCCCTCGTTTCCCATGCTACTACTACAACCGCCAGTGCGGCTATGCTTCTCACTTCAAAGTAAATAAACGCCAAGCACCCATTTTTACTTCACTTCGCACAGCTCGCCTTCTCACTGATTACAAAAAATATATAATACTTGTACACTTGAAGTTAACTTTTGGCTCAAATTATAATTTAAACGCGACTTGTCCCAAAATGCTGCCGATTTTCAGGTTCTTCATCGTTTCCAAGAGCACTGTGTTGGAGTACAACCTAGTGCTGGTGGTGGCGGGCATTATATTCATGTTGGACGTCTACCATCACGTGAACGCGAAGCAGAAGACGCTTCCCAACATATCACTGCGCAGCTACACTCTGGGCCTAATTCCGTGGCTGTCCTGGATGCGGGGACTGTCCATCGTCTCGTACATACTGAATGGCCTGCTCGGCATATGGATGGCCCGTCGACCGAGCTTCTTCAAGTATTGGGGCTATGTGCTGACCAGCATCATGTTGCTGATCTACACATTCAGCATCGCTGTGTCGCGCTTCTTCTTTCCCGACTTTGAGTTCTATTGCCATCTGCTAATAGAGGCAATCTGGACCGCCAATGAAATGGGCCTGCTGGAACGTGAGTTCGACTGCTGCGGCAAGGCCGGCGTTATAGACTACATCATGACTAATCGCACACCCTCGGCGATGAGCTGCTGCGAGGTTGAGGACTGTCACGGCTGCAAAAAGAGCTTCAATGATTTTCTGTGGAACATCGAAATGGAAATCGCACGCGACAACTTTACACTTTTTGTGATGATGTTGATTGGCCTGGTCATCATGACGATTTTCTTTCACAGCTTGGTTCTATTCCAGGATCCCTATGAACCGGAGTCCTCAACCTTGCCATCCTCATCATAGTTACTCTACATTTGTTACTGTTTAACACAACACGTTCTTCGCTCAAGTGCCGCAAAGGCTTATATGCCCATTTATATTTAAAGAAACGATTACAGTTGTATGGACTCGTAACATACATAAATATATACCTCATCGCTATTCTTTTATCGGGTATACATGAAATAATATAATAAAAGTTTGCATGCTAAAATAACTGTATTACTAACTGGCGGTGCGTATATTGGCGATAAACGCCTATCGGTAAATAATTGCATTTTTCTGTCTCACGTCAAAGCCCCTACAAAATTTTATATCACACCTTGAGAGCTTAGCTTATTAGCATACTTGTATAATATTGCTCGTGCTCTGCGACGTGCTAAAGATACATCTAATTTTATTAATCGCAGCCGAAAACATTAAACAAATAATTTTTAGTCATACTGTATTTCATTTCCATTGTTACTCAATCTTTCCAGTAAATTCATTTGTTTTACCAATGTGAATACGGAAAACCCGAACTTGGTAACCTGATAAAAGTATAAATGGTGGGACATCAGCCAAAAAAAGTATGTTAATGTATGTATAATTATTAATGCTTACATTGATGTTAGTGCTTAAAGATATAGTGAAGATTCCCATGGCCGTGAAAGTGATTGGTTGCTGTAGATTGTGCAAGAAAAAGACGACGGTCTGCCTGTACCGCTTATCGTTATCCATCCACTCCGATTCGAAGAGGGCGTCGGAAAGCTTGCTGCAATCATCTATCAAATAGTTGCAGAGTATGCAGAATGGCGTAGTCTCAAGCAATATATCAAACAAGAAAAGCAGGGACGCAAGCCCAGAGGAGAAGTTTGCAAAGAGGACAATATTGATCATTGTGAAGCCCACAATTAGGCCCACTAACAGAAATTGAATGAAAATAGTGCCTGATATAATAGGACTTAGAGCATCCGAGCAGCTGTATTTGAAATTAACCAAATCAGAAACAATTATTTCAAACAAGGAAGAGCTTTTACAAACCGTAAAATTGCCTTGTGATCCAATATGCAGTTTTTCAGCTCCTGATAGCGCTGCTCTGGAGTCGAACTCTCGTTGGTCATTCCACTAAGCCGGCGCAAACGTTCCGCCAAAAAATTGACATGCGCCCGCAATGGTAGGACAAAATTTATCGGATAGCAATCGGCACAAGCATTCTGAAGTGCGGCGAACAACATGGATAAATTCTCAGCTATCAACTGTACCCAAACTCTCCAGCCGCCGGCTTGCCAGTCCAAGAGTGGATAGGTTACCTGAAAACCTGGGTGGACATTCCAAACGGACTTCACAAACGTGGCCATCACAAAACCCATGTAAACTGACATGAACAACAAGATGGTGCGATTGCTTTGCATAACTGTCCGATGTATCATTCGCTTCTCACTGGGCTGAATCACGCGTTTGTCCAATTCATCCAGAAATTCTGCAGCGGAATCCAAACATTTGACATTGATCCACAAAATCAACACCTTGACTGAGCACGACAATGCAGCGGTCGCGACCTCTAGTGAGCTAATAAACGCACCAGGATCCAAATCTTTCAGATTAGTATACAACCCAATCGCGAAGCCAATGGGTTGATAAAAGGTCGAGAAAATATTCACCGTCAGAGACCACAGGATATAGATGACGAAGAAGCGCTGCGGCGGGTTTCGTATTCCCATATAAAATAAAGAGCGCATTAAATAAAGCGTCGCATTCCGAGAGCGTGGTGGAGAATCCTCCGGTGCCATATACAGGGCTGGAAAGATCGAGCGAACGTTCATTGTGCTCAGCTTGATGGCAACTGCAGGTTTGACATACTGGAAGTTGAAGACTAGACCTTTATTTTGCCCAACTATAGCTGTGATTAAAAACGCATCAGGCCTAGGATTTTGAAAAATGCATAAGCGAAAGCACTGGCGACCAACAAGCTGTAGACATTCGCAGGACGAGTGAGAGCTTTTCATGTAATTATACTATCGAAGAGTGAGTGATTAATATATTATAAACATGAACAGCTATAATTACATAAATAAATGCAATTATATGTAAGCGTGTATATAATTAAACATATACCGATGCTACATACGTCTATTATTTATTGAAAGCTTCGTAAACTGAGCCAACGGGATAATGTATATGATGCGGACTAAAGGTCTAGATCAGATATTCTTCATGCATTCCGCATTCTTCTCAAATTTAAAAACTATGATTATCAATCAACATAACATAGATCCAAAAGTTTACCGAAACGAATACTTTAAATAAATAAAATCAGGGCCCTCCAAGAAAAATTAAAGATTGAGGGTCAGGAAAATGGAAGAATGGTTGAACCAATATAATGGTCATACTGCTAAATACACGTATATAGTTTTTGTAAGCTAAACTGATTAATGTGCGTGTTTCCACATTTAAATTGCACAAAAAGGGGACCTTTCGATTTTAATAAGACTTGTCTTTTCACCCATATAGTATGTGTCCGTGTTTTAAATTACATTTTCAGCTGCTTATTATTAAACGCATAAGATAATCTAGGTACCAGTAGAGGTAAACGCAGATAAGCTTATTCCAGTTCCTAAAATTGATTTTCTCGGCCATGAGGGAAATCGTAAAGACAACAAAAATATATAAAGCAGCGTCCTTTGTCCTTTGCCTATTTATTACCTGCAATGACAGGCACATTTTAGAGTTTACACTTTTGTGGAAAGTACTTCTTTCTATGCTCCAGCTGATTGGATGTTTACCTCGCAAATGACAAGTATTTTAAGCTTTGTGGTTGTATTGTTTGACGAAACTAATGGCCCAGCTGCAATTTTCTTATCTAATTAGCAAACTGTGTCAGCTTTTCGACAACATGGCAGAAACAACAAACTTGCAAATACCGCACTAGGTTTACGGCTTTCAAACTTTTTAAGGGGCACTGACTAAATACTTTCGAAAATAAAGTCCGGAAAAGCTCAGGAGGTTAATAAATAACTCATATATAGTAGCAGAGAAGGGAAGAGAAAAATGCAGTGATGGCATTGACACTTTCGTGGCATGCAACAGGTGCCGTATTTAGTGGCCAAAAGCAAATTCATTTACGCTTGAAGCTTTCGGCCAGAGACTCGTTTCCAGCTGAAGCAACAAGTCAACATCGGAGCAGAAATGGAAAGTAAGGCCAGCAAAAGACGCCAACAGCTTTCCAAATGTTGATATTAGCCAGACCCAAATCAGACAAATCAAAAGTTGACCTTGGAGTGTGCAACCAAATTGCCACAGACACACACTTTCAAATCGTCGTAGATGCCGTTTCCGTTTCCACCGCCAGTGCGACTATGCTTCTCACTTCAAAGTAAATAAACGCCAAGCACCCATTTTTATTTCACTTCGCACAGCTCGCCTTCTCACTGATTAGAAAAAATATATAATACTTGTACACTTGAAGTTAACTTTTGGCTCAAATTATAATTTAAACGCGACTTGTCCCAAAATGCTGCCGATTTTCAGGTTCTTCATCGTTTCCAAGAGCACTGTGTTGGAGTACAACCTAGTGCTGGTGGTGGCGGGCATTATATTCATGTTGGACGTCTACCATCACGTGAACGCGAAGCAGAAGACGCTTCCCAACATATCACTGCGCAGCTACACTCTGGGCCTAATTCCGTGGCTGTCCTGGATGCGGGGACTGTCCATCGTCTCGTACATACTGAATGGCCTGCTCGGCATATGGATGGCCCGTCGACCGAGCTTCTTCAAGTATTGGGGCTATGTGCTGACCAGCATCATGTTGCTGATCTACACATTCAGCATCGCTGTGTCGCGCTTCTTCTTTCCCGACTTTGAGTTCTATTGCCATCTGCTAATAGAGGCAATCTGGACCGCCAATGAAATGGGCCTGCTGGAACGTGAGTTCGACTGCTGCGGCAAGGCCGGCGTTATAGACTACATCATGACTAATCGCACACCCTCGGCGATGAGCTGCTGCGAGGTTGAGGACTGTCACGGCTGCAAAAAGAGCTTCAATGATTTTCTGTGGAACATCGAAATGGAAATCGCACGCGACAACTTTACACTTTTTGTGATGATGTTGATTGGCCTGGTCATCATGACGATTTTCTTTCACAGCTTGGTTCTATTCCAGGATCCCTATGAACCGGAGTCCTCAACCTTGCCATCCTCATCATAGTTACTCTACATTTGTTACTGTTCAGCAAAACACGGCCTTCGCTGTGAACACTGGCTAATGGCTCATGCTCAAGTGCCTGAAAGGCGCTTACACGTATAATTAACCAAGCCCAGCAGATAAATAAAGGCAGCTAGGCGTCTGTACGAGTACGAGTGTGTGTTTGTTTGGGACTGGGGTGGAAGCTATAGCGCGGCTGGTAGTAGCTTTATTAACGAGCGACTGCATGCTTCGGCAAATTGAACTTTAATTCAAAGTTGATTATGTGTCCGCCTTTTTATGTGTACTTATAGTATATACAAGTATATATATGAGTTTGCGCTTGAGCTTGTTGCGCCTCATTAATCGAACTTAAAGCGTCATGGCAACAAGAGAAACAACGGGATCGGAAGCAAACAGCAAAATGCGACATTCAATACCGCTGCCTCGTGTCCATTTTAATGCCCATACTTAATTAGCTTTCAAAACAAAATGCCCCGAAAATATATTTTAATGGCTTCGAATAGCGGCGTTTATTGCCAGTAAGTGGATTTAGCAGTTGACTTGCGGGCGACTGTCGACGCTAACCACAGTAATCCTTATTGGCAACTGGCGAGCGTATGAAACAAATGATTATGCCTTTATGGATTTATGACAATATATATGTTCGTACATATAAAGGAGTACTTATATTATGTGCTTTAATTGCCGTTAAATAAATCGAAGCCATAAGCGTTCTTGTTATTTTCGTTGCTGGTGCCTCATGATTAATGGGAATGCTAACACGAGTTCCTGACTTCCACTCGGACAGATGGGCGAACAATATTTGTTAGCGCAGCAAAACAATAATTTTGTTCAATGGGATTTTACAGAACTGTCTTAATTTTAACTCGAATCGTTTTAACAAAATACTGAGATTTCCATACATACTTGTATTGAGAAACAGGCCCTGCAAGCAACAGGTTGTCTTCTCACAAACAATCTATGCAAATGCGCTCGAAATTAATTAAAAATAAATAGATACGAATACTTTATTTAATACTTACAAAATTAGTAAGTAACATTGTAACATTGAAATTATGGTTTCAATTTGGTTACTAAATTAATTATTGTTCCACACTTTCCCAGAGTGTAAATTATAAATCTTTCCATATGATATGGTTTTTATATATGTATTTTTACAATTCATAGCACTACTTATGGGCCAATTAAGCAATGGCTCGAAGAGTGAAGCCTTATACGAATATGTACATCGAAATTAATGTGCTGTCTCTAGTAAAAATCCTTAACATTCCTATACAAATGTGTCCTGGTAGACATTTGGAGTTTAATGCGCTTGTTCTGGGATAGCCGGAAAGCTTTTAAGCGATATCAAATTGTTGAGACAAAGAGTGAAAAGACTGAATGTATTAAACGCAGGGAAAGTGCGTGGCAGGCAAATAAAAATAAAACCATTTTCATAAAATGAAATTTTCATGAAGTTCTTCTTCTTTAAGGGAAATAGTTTTTGCCAACTTGCTTTGTCATTGCTTTTTTACTTTGTGTGCAATGATGTGACGGCTGAGGGCCATGGAGGCCATGAGGGACTGTGGGAGTTGTGTTGAGGCTGGTCCTGCACATTGCACGGCGGTGCATCCGTTGCGGTTTGTCTAAAGGAAGCACTGCCGCAAAATAAACAGCCAAAATTGCAACCGCAAAGGATGTGAAATGTAACAGGAAGTGTGCGAAATTTTTTCATTTTTTGTGCGGCGCCTTCTTCAGCAGTGCGCTTATTTGTGTATGTGTGTGTGTGTGTGTGTGCGTAGCATTCGAAACTTTATGACAATTTAATGATGTCGACATTTATAGTAGTAGTTGCCTTCTCAATTTTTCTCACACAATCCTTGACGTCACTGCGACACTTGGCCTTTTGCTCAGATAGCGCGTCCGTTCATTTGAAATTGAGAAAGAAAGTAAGCGTGGAAAGAAAGTCAGTGCCACCTATTCTGATGAGCAGCAGTTAAGAGATAGTGAGAGAGGGAGAATAATACTACATATCAAATATATATTTTACAACATGGCTGGCTACAACAGTGCATTATATTCAAAAGATGCCATCAAAATTAATAGCATTTCTCTGTGCAGGCACAACAGCAATGAAGGCTGAGCTTTCATTAATATTGCCAGGTGTGTTTATCTTTTTAAAACAGCCAGAGCGTATATGAGCATACGCAGTCCGCATTGTTGTATGTATCCTTCTAGTGCTGCATTCTGCAACCTGCATCCTGCTGCTGTTGCCAGCCAACAAATATTGTGACATAAATCAATGACTCCCATTGCAAGCTACGTTGAAAGCGGACGTTTATTAATAATTCAAGCAAATAATACATAAGTGTCCCAACATGTTTGCGCACTCGTGCGCATGTTTGTATTAGTAAGTATTATATTGTGACAGACATCGGCTATCACAGTCAGATTTTAATTGATTGAACTCACTGCCTTACCTCCTGTTGATGCTAAAATTGTGAAATGTTGTTTCTTATAATTTAATATCATATTAAAATGGTCGTTTTAATTAATCCTATGTCACCTTCAACATTATCTTTAATTCACTATTCCTTTCAATCAACACAAATTTTCAAATCATTTTCATATTCTTATTGTTCATTAAAAGCACCCCATTACCCCATTGGGTTGAAAACAACTCAATAATATTCTTAAACTATTTTCCAGGCGTCTTTTAAAAACAAAACATTCTTGTGACCTTTTGAATATTGTGCAAAAAGATGTAGTCTCAAATTTGATATGGCAGTCAACTTACCTCTGTGCTTTCAACTCTCTCACTTCTATTAAATGTTGTCATGCCAATTAGTAAAGACATGCAGGTACTCGTAAGCCTGTAAATTGTGCAATTTGTACACATTTTTGTGGTGCTCTGTTTTGTGCAAAAGTTTGTTTTTAAAGATGAAGTTGAAAAATATAACGCCGCACAACAGACAGAGCTATAATTATTATTGTAGTGTGTCTGCAGAATGCGCATGTAAACTGGTTGGTTGTTATTCTCATTTCAAAGTAATATAAAAATTAATTGCTTAACTTTGTACATAAATTAAAGGGCCAATAATGGCGTACTACCAGTACCACTGCATTGTTATATGCGAGAAGGTCATTTAGGGTCCCAAGTTTGACTTTGGGCGACGTTGCCAAAACTGTCGCTCACTGTTGTTTTGAAGGAAACATTATTTATAAGTCAGACAACAGAAATAACCGCAAAATGCAGCCAACAAAAGTCGACTTAAAACTTTTTAACAAAAACCAAAGGTAACAGCAGAATATGTGTGTGGGTATTTGCATTTTTCAACATTTTCATTAGCAATTTGGAAAGCAAAAAGAACAAATGTTGGACGAGTTACCAAAAAGAAAGCAAATCAAGATTTACGTTGGAAGTTTTATTTTCATTAAGCATTAGTTAGGTATATTTTGGCATAATTTTAAAGCGAATCGGTTTTGTCACAAAGAGACAGTCAGCTGGTTTGCAAAATTTACCCTAAGAACTATTTGTATGTCTTACAAAATGCCTTATTGGACACAAGACGTACGAGCAGTCAAGTAACCACAAGTCCTTACTCCGTCGTTTATACAAATGACATATGGAATTACAAATAATAATTTCATTGTTGAAATTAAAGGCATGAGTTACTTCTATTCTGCTTCATTTTCTACATTGTAATTGATTGATTAACTGGAGAGGCTTGTTAAGGAGCTTTGAGGCCAGGCTGATGTAAAGATAACATTTATATGCATTTCTCTACCATATTTATGTTGCCATTTTAATTGCCGAATGTACCAAAATCTGACCAACAGTATGTTGGATATTAAAAAGCCCCTTGAGTGTTTGAGTTTCTGGGTAATAGCTGGATACTGTTGGCTGTATTATATCCAACCGATTCAGCCAAAGCTCAACAACGATGCAAAGAAGGCACATAAATTTCTACACACCTAGCCATTATGGGGCACTTGACCTCGTGGCACCACATTTTCAATGTACAAGCCGCTGGGAGGAGGAGAGCAATTAATCAGGTCACCATTTCCTTTGTTTCTGCGCTGTCATTAAATAAAATCATTATGCTACTTAATTAACTTTTTCTGAGAGAACTTGTATGGCTCTGCGAAGAAGGCAAGAGTTATGCACTTGTCACCTTGTGTTGGCGTGAGGATCTTACCTAAGGGTCACTGGCCTTCTGTCTTCTCTCGTGCACGGGCAGGAGCTGCCTAACCTATCCTGACCTATAATCATCAAGACTTTAACATGAATGAAATATGATATATGCAGCTAGCGGCGGCAATCCATAGCCCAAATTTTAATTACGTTTTCTTTTATACAAATCATTTACCTTTGAGGTCAATCCGAGAAGGTAAATAAAACTTTATTGGGAAGGTATTTCGCTGTAGCCATAGTAAGTCAATAATGCGCACAAGCTGTTTCAATACAAGTTTAATTTGGAGGGTATGTATATTGACTGATATTCTCACACACTTCACTCAGTAACTTCGTTTGCGTTTTATTTGCATAATCAGTACTAAGCAAATTTACAGCTTCTTCTCCATGGATGCCTTTCACTTATGTAGTATGTATGTATGTGTATGTACATGAGTCCAAACACATCCATGAGTAACACATAGCACATACTCGTGCTTGCGTAAATCTTAAAGTTGTACCTCGAGTTATTTGAGCTGAGACCTCATAAAGTTAAATTAACGCTTAATCTGAGGTTATGGCCTTCCAACCTCCCAGACACCCACACACACACACACACACACACACACACACACACACACACACATAGACACACACGAACAGACATTTTCCTGCCCGGTGTTTCGTTTTCAATTACACTTAAACTTTAAGCGCGTTGGAGATTCGTTCTTTCCACTTTGTTTTTCTTTTGTTTTGGAAAATTTCTTTTTAAAATCATCAACATTGCTCGAGTGCTTCATAATTTTATTAGAGAGAATATTTTGTGTGAGATTTCTGCCACGTGCTG